CTCACACCACTGCAAGGAAGATGTCCAGCAGACTGTGGGGAAACAATTCCAGCTGCAAGGCTGGGAATGCACTGGCATTACCTGGAGAAAAAGATTTCAAGAACAACTTATATCAACTTTCTGAGTGTATTTGATCCTGCACCAGTTCTGGGGAGGGAGCTGATGACCTGCTAAATTCCTGAATTCCTTTCCAGCTGGGAGTGATCTGTAATGACCCCAGTTACCCCAGCAAAGCCTCCCAGATCATGGATCTAATGACTCTGCCCCAGTCCAGAGGTGCTCAGCATCCACCTTTGGTGACCTTTTCCACCTCTGAATGCTCTGGCAGCCTGTGATGCCCAAGCCCTGTCCAGTCCTGCTTGGGCAGTTAGTGGTGATTTAGATTATCCCAGTGGTGATGCAGATGTTTCAGGAAAACCCTAGGAGCAGGTGAGCACCCTAAAACCAGGGTTGTTGTTACACTGTTCTTGTCCCTAAGCTTTCCATGCACTATTTTATATTTCATTTGACAGAATGTGTTTCACTTTCTGTATACAAACATTTCCCTAATGGCCAACACCCTCCTCTCCAGCTTAATTTGATTTGATTCCTCTGTCCAGTCCACATGTACTTTCTTACCCACACAGATTCCAACCTTTCATAGGCCTTTTCCCTGCCAGTAATTCCACGTGGAGTCACGGGAGCTGGGTGGTGTCCTGTGCCCTCCTCCTGTCACTTAATGCCACGACATTTCACAGGGCACCAAGTTTATCTGGAGAATAAGAAGGGAAAGAGCTTGCTTAGGCCTTTTCCTGCCAGCTGTAATTTTGGGAGCTGGATTGTGGTTCCTGTGCCACTAGAGGGAAACCTGTGCCTAGGAATTAAGGGAGTCTCAGGATGGATGAAACACAACCCAGTTGTTTATGTATCCCAGGAAATCTCATTGTTGGTGTAAAAGATGTGTTGGCTCATATCAATTATGCAACTGGATTTTAATGTAGTGATGCATAAAAGAGGATCTGGGGGCCGTGGATCAGTGGTGGCCTTGGCAGTGCTGGGTCAGTGGTGGGACTCAGTGATCTCACAGGGCTTTTCCAGCCTTTATGGTTCTGTGATCTCTGTACCCCTTGGAAGAAAATATATCAATGGCTGGAGCAGTGACAGACTCAGCACCTCAGGAAAGAGTCCTTGAGCACCTTTGGGAATTGTCCCCATTCAGCCGAGTCCACACCTGCTGTCCCCTGCGTTATAGCGGCACAGAGGGACTTGGTACAAAGTGTCTGTGCTGTAACTGCTCCAGCAATATCCATACAGTGTTTCCAGCAGCAGACAGAGGACTCCCACTGTTACTGAAGAGCTTTGGAGGAAAGTCTGATTTAGAATCATAGCATAGTTTAGGTGGGGAGGGACCTTAAAGGCCACCTCATCCCTCCCCCTGCCATGGGCAGGGACACCTTCCACTACACCAGGGTGCTCCTTCCCCATCCAGCCTGGCCTCGGACACTTCCAGGGATGAGGAGTCTACAAGCTTCCCTTCCTTCATTTACCTTCCCCACGCTTAGGAAGATGATGCTTCATAGAAGTTTCTTGGTCTCTGAGTCTCTCCTGGATGTGTTTAAACTGTTCCCAAACAAGAAGCTTTGCCGGACACAGTTTTCCAAAACATTTGATGGTTTTTGTGGTTTTAATCTCGCTGAGACTTGCTGAAGGTGCTCAGTTGAACCCATTGCTCCTGTGGCTTTTCAGCTTCTCTGGGTTTTTCCCACTGTTCCTGGTGGATAACATCCCTGTGTTTGAGGGAGCCCGTGGAGAAGTCGGGTTGTCAGGGCAGGAGCCGCGTGAGCAAACGGGAGGTAATGGATCTGCTCCCTTCCATTTTAAGAGTGACCTTTAACTCACCAGACTTTGCTAAATAACTCTGGCAGGATCCCTCTGGAAGGTTGCCTCCCAGGGACCCAGCGTGCTGGCCTGGCCTGGCACTGCCCTGTGGATCTGCTGGGCTGGCAAAAACACCGGAGCAGCACATCCCGAGCGGGAGCTGAGCTGTTCCTGCTTCCCCGTCGCCCCTGCCCTGAGGGAGAACCGCAGGGATTGACCCCGCTGGGCTCGGGAATGGCCAGGAGCTGTGCCTCTGGGAAGCAGCAGGTGGTAAAGAAGACAGAAACCTTTTCCCAGCAGCGTGGAATTGTGTGTTCTCCGGGACATTGATCCTCCCCAGCAAGTGCGGGAAAGCGTCTTCAGTTACAGAAACCAGCGGCAGCTCAAGGTTCAAAGGGCTATTTTTGGGTGTCCAGCGGCTTCCCTGAACTCCTGTCTAATAGGTGGGCCAAGGTTGGGGATTAATTTTGGCATATTTTACTTTTTCAATGCATTTGTATGAAAAAAGAACATGGAAGACTCTCCTCTGCCCGTGCTAACCGTGCCAACAGCTCCTTACAACGACCAGAAACCGGGAACCAGCGGGTTACGGAAGAAGACCTTTTACTTTGAATCCAAGATGAACTATTTGCAGAACTTCCTCCAGAGTATCTTTTTTTCCATAGACCTGAGAGACCGCCAGGGATCTTCTCTGGTCGTTGGAGGTGATGGGAGGTACCTCAATAAGTCTGCAGTGGAACTGATTGTCCAAATGGCTGCTGCCAACGGGGTTGGTAAATGTTAAATCCCTAAATTCCTGTCGGTGCGTGGCTGATAAATGCAGGAGACCTTAAGAAATTAGTCACTTGGGAGATTTAATTTCCCCAAAGGCTTATTCAACTGTAGGAGCTAAGTTTTTAATGGAAAACCAGTTTGGTAGTACAGAAATGACTGATTTCACTTTAAGTGACACAGTGGGGTACAGAATACACCTGGAGAACGGAAAATAAATACTGCTTGGTGTTTGTGTGTTCTTGGTTTGGGGTTTGACAGCCCCAGGCTGTTGGCACTTGGATTTTGTAGCCTTTCCATGAGAATATAACCCCCTGATATTGTTCAGAAATGAAGTAACAGGGAAAGCCACCAGACTGGCAAAGGAAAAGGTAAAACTTGGTTGTTTCTTTCTCACCAGATCTAAGTTGTGATAAATACTCCAGGAGCCTTTGAAAATTGAGACGAGGGTGAGGAAGTGAGTGGCAACCTTTATGTGGGTCTCAGTTGTGCTGGAATTCTGTGTTTTGGAAGCAGGACAGGCTTGTCTGTTTGTGGTGGATCATGATTCATGCACTGCAAGGCTCTTGGGCTTTGGGGTTTGTATCTGTTTCCTTCTGCTTTTTAAGAAGAAAAGGCTCTGCTGTCTATCCTGGATCTCTTGTTATTCTGAGAGACCTGGATCTTAGGAATTTTAGGTGTTCCTTATTCCCTGTGTGCATCTTAGTGGGCTCTCAGTAAAACCAGGGTGGAAACGTAGCCTGGATTGCTCTGAAGGGCTGCAACCCAAAACTGCTGCACAGAGTGGGTCTGTTTTGAGAATTCCATGAAAGGTGTTTCTCCAGCCTTAGATTTTTCTCAGAAGAAATTCCAGAGAATCAAAAAGCATTAAGTGTAAATTGTTCAGCACATTGTTGCAATGAGCAGCTTTTTCCAGTGGTTACCACAAGGGATTGAGCATTGGATGGGTGGGAAATGACAGCTGAAAACCTCTGGAAGCCAAGGAGGGCCCTCAATCAGAGAGCAGCTCCTATGGAGATAAGTGTTTCTTCCTTTCCTTCCTCACTGTGGGGAAAAGCTGCAGTTCAGGTGTGTGGGGAGGACCTGATGGGTTCATCCAGCTCTCCTGTCTGGTTTGGGAGGGAAGATCCCTTGTTTTGCCAGTCCTCTGCAGCATCCCTTGAGCTGCCTGCAGGGCATGGGGGTGCTGCAGAATGTGACCCTCATAGGGAAACTGGGGAACAAGAGGTGAAGTTTTGCAGAGGAGCTTCCTGGAGGAGCAAAATTTGGAGGCTGGAATAAAGCACAGGATCAAGGTGTGCTGGTGAATAAAGCACAGATCAAGGTGTGCTGGCTTGAGCTGAGAATGGGCAAAAACAAACCCTATGTAGGTTGGGCCACTTCAAATGAAAACCCAGAGGGCTCCACCCTGAGCTGCTGCCCCACGAGCTCCCCCCACGAGTGGGGTCTTACCGGGGGTCCTAAACTGCTGTTTCCCATTTATGCTCATTATTTGCTGAAGGTGCAGATCTTTGACCAGCTGGTCTGTGACAGCTGTGCTGTGCACTAACTGATGGGCAGGAGGCTGGGGCTTAGCACCTGGCAGTGCCAGGGGCCCGGAATCACACTCATCCCGTGCCCTTGGCCCAGCTCCCACCAAGGGCCTGCAGTCAGGAACGCTCCTCCTGATCCCTGCTTCATCTTGTGGTTGAATGGAATCCCTCCTCTTTTCTCTTTCTGTTCTCTCTCTGATCTCAGCTGGTGCAGAGTCTGGTGTGTTTTTAAAATCCCTGTCACCTCATTTGGGGGCTGTGGTGAGGAGCGTGTTCTGCCAGGGAAATATTCATTCTACTTTATTACATGGACTCCAGCAACTGGTTCTGATTGCTTTGTATTGCTCAGCACATTGCTCTGGATGCAATCTCAGTGAGATTACTGAATTTATGGGAAGGAGGTGTGTTACCCACTGGACAAACCTGCAGCTGGTCCCACGGGAGCAGCCAGGATGTCCAATTTCTGTGCTGTTTTGGCTTCTCTCTGTCCCATTTTGTGTTTGGAAAGCAAAGTTTGTGGCCACAGCCAGAGGGGTTGGTTGGCTTTTGGTGTTGTTTAGAGACAACTAAACAACACCAAAACAGAGACAACTGGAGAGCTGAGCCCTCCAGTGCACCATGTCCAGCTGAGCTGCAGCATTCCTGAAGGAAAACACTCCAAAGGCACAAAGGCACGGGGTTTGATGCACCATACAGAGCTTGGAGGCCTCCCAGGAACAAGGAGGGCTCCTCTGCCATCCCAACACCTCCAGGGCTCTGGTTTACCTGTTGCTGGCATTTGTGGTCTGGTGGGTTTGGGATTTGGGCTCACAGGAGTTTGTTTTGCTGTCCCATCCCCAGATTGGGCGCTTGGTCATCGGGCAGAACGGGATCCTGAGCACCCCGGCCGTGTCCTGCATCATCCGCAAGATCAAGGCCATCGGGGGCATCATCCTGACAGCCAGCCACAACCCCGGGGGGCCCAGCGGGGACTTTGGCATCAAATTCAACATTGCCAATGGAGGTGAGGGCCCTCGGCCCCTGGTTTGCTGTGGTGGTTTGGTTGTTCTCGTGTTGACCCCAAGGAACCCAATTTCTGCTTTAATAGCACAGGGGTCCAGTGCCCTGAGCAGTGGGTTTCCCTAAACAGAGCAAACCTGCTCCCCTCATACCCTGGGATTCCCAGCCCTGGGTCTTTGCTGAACTCCTGAAGTACATCCATCCCTCTGTACCATCTTCCCCCTTGCCCATTTTCTCTCCCAGGTCCTGCTCCTGAAGCCATCACGGATAAAATTTTCCAAATCAGCAAGAAAATCGAGGAGTATGCCATCTGCCCAGATCTCCAGGTGGATTTGAGCACCATTGGGAAGCAGCAGTTTGACTTGGAGAACAAATTTAAACCCTTTACAGGTAAACAAATGTTCTTCCTCTTGGAAACGATGAGGAAATTGGGTTTGTCTGAGGACAGACATGGCCATTCTGATCCCTCCTTCTCATCCATTGGATAATCCAAGAAGGGCATTGCTCCTGCATCCTGATATTTATTTATTTATTGGTTTGCCCTGCATCTTACCTTGTGTAAATCAGTTTCTGTCCTACAAAGGCTTCCACTTCAATGGGAAAATCTTGATCCATCAAACTTCACTAAAATCAAAGGCTGTTTTGTCTGCAAAGCAAACTTGTACTTGAAAACAGACACCTCTGCAGTTAAAGTGCATTTTCCTGATTAAAACTATAGTGTTTAATCTTATAACTGATTTTTAACATGGTTTCACAAATGAAAGCTCTCCCTGTGAGTGGGAAAGCTGTTATATTTCATGTGTGATTTCTGTCAGCAGTGAAATATGAAAATGCATTAAAAGAAGACTTCTGAAAAAAGACTTTCAAAAAAAAAGCTGCAAGTATTTTTTTATAAATTAAAAGATGATAAAAGTTGGTATTTCTCTCAGTCCCTGTTTATGTAGTGGGATTTTTATGTTAATGGGGTTTTTATATTGCCTGTTGACTGCAAAGGTGCAGCTTTTTTCAACTATTAAGTTCACAGTTCCCACTTACTTTGGTGGAATTAAAGATCTGATTATATATATCTAGATATTCCCCTTTTCCTTTAATGCCACTCTCCAGGCAAGTGAAGTGGGACTTGAGCCTCTTGGGAGTCGCAGCTGGGAACAGAGTTTGCCTTAAGGATTTTGTTGGTCCATTTGTCTGTGACCTGCTTAGCAGTGAGAACATGTAATTAAATTCTTAATTAGGCACCATTATTCCTGCCTTTCTCAGCTGGTCCTGTGGGATGTGGAAGGCTTTGTGCTGAGCCCTGCCCTGTGCTCTGTGGATGCTCAGCACAGCAACAGGGTCTTTGTTACAAAGGTTTCAGACTCTGAGAGTTGGTCTCCACTCCCTTTTCTTTTCCAGTGGAAATTGTGGACTCTGTGGAAGCTTATGCCAACATGCTGAGGAATATCTTTGACTTCAGTGCATTAAAGGAGCTGCTTTCAGGGAAAAACCACCTCAAGATCCGCATCGATGCCATGCACGGAGGTACCCCGGCTGGGCTTGGGGCATTTTAGGGGACTGGGTGTCCCAGGGGCTCTCCTTCAGCAAAAGAGATTTTACTGGAATTTATATCCATCACTTCTAATTTTGATTTTTGTTTTATAGCATCCTGGATTTTTCTTCTTATGCCTTACGTTATTTTCTTTTGTCAAATATTGTATTTTGGGGGTTGGAATGAGATGATAACTTTGAGATCCCTTCCAACACAAACCATTCTAGGATTGTGTGAAATGTTTGGGCTTGGGAATTGCCAAGGGCAGAGATATTGGTGGAGTTTGGGGGATGCTGGAGGGCTCACATGTGTCAGTCAGCACTTTAGAGACAGAGGAGAAGCTGTGATCAAAGCTGCCCTGACTTCACATCAGTCAGTGTCCCATGGGGTCACAGCAATTAGGCAAAGATGTTCCCATAGATGTTTGAGTACAAAAATGGGACCATTAGACTGATTTATATTATTTATCAGCCAAACTTGTGAGTCCCTTTCACAGACACTGGGAGCACCCTGGCTTTCTTGGCATCTTGTTCCTCTTGTCTCCAGAGTTATGGGAGCTGCTGTGCTTCAGTACCATAAACCACACAAACTGACCATCCTATGGGAGCTGCTGTGCTTCAGTACCATAAACCACACAAACTGACCATCCTGTGCTTTAGGAACATAAATCACATGAACTGCCCCAGCCTGAGCAGCCCAGGGGTGGGTGGTGACGTGGCTGCTGCAGAGCTGACCGAGGGCAGAGACAACTTGTTTCTCTCCATGTTTCTCTGTGACAGTTGTGGGCCCTTATGTGAAGAAGATCCTGTGTGAGGAGCTGGGAGCCCCAGCAAACTCAGCTGTGAACTGCACCCCACTGGAGGACTTTGGGGGCCACCACCCTGACCCCAACTTAACCTACGCTGCCGACCTGGTCCAGACCATGAAGACGGGAGAGTACGACTTTGGAGCTGCCTTTGATGGAGATGGGGTAAATGAGCTGTTCTGTGGTCACTTTTTGGCCTTCTAACCAGCTGTGGGGGACTAACGCTCAGCTGATTTTAAGTAGAGGATGAAGGCAAAGCTTTTTTCTCTTCCTCTGTAGTCATAAATGGAAGGGAACCACTTGCTGCATTTTGGCACCAGGGCAATAGCTGACTACTGTGTCAATAAAATGCCCAAACCGTATTTAAATAACTTTAAAGGCTGTGAAAAGCCAGCAGGAAGGTGAAACACTATCCAGGTGTTTCGAAGCTCTGTTTTTATTCCAGCACAGTCAGAAAATCCCTGGGAGCTGTTGGGTTTATGAGCAGCTCCTGTGCTGAGCAGGGAGCAGAGCTGTTCCCCTCTTGTCCTCCCCAGGATCGCAACATGATCCTGGGCAAGCACGGCTTCTTCGTGAACCCCTCCGACTCCGTGGCCGTCATCGCTGCCAACATTCTCAGCATCCCGTACTTCCAGCAGACCGGAGTCCGGGGGTTTGCCCGGAGCATGCCCACCAGCGGGGCCCTCGACAGGTACCAGCTGTTCAGGTGGGAGGGGGGAGGGAGCCCTGTCCCTTTTTTTGGGGTTTAACACATCCCCTTAGTAGGGAGCAGAGCTGGGCTGTGCTCTTGGCTCTTCTCTACAGCTAAGTCCAAACAAATGACCCTCCCCACCTTTTTTTTTTTTTCCTTAAATTTTATAGTGATAATTTGTTAAATGTTTGCAGATCCACAACTTAAAGTTGCTTTAGAAGAGCTGTGTGTTTGTATCTGTTCCTTAAATGCACATCCCACCCATTTTCCAAATGTTACACTGGGGTAAAATTGAGGATAAAACCCAGAGCAGCGGCATTCCCTGCCTGCAGTGTGACCCCAAGGGAGAGGCTGATACTGCAGCATCTCACATGGGAGCACCAGGAATCCAGCTGGGATGTGACTTGGCCTTCTTACATTTGCAGGGTGGCCCAGGCTACAAAGATCGCTCTGTATGAGACTCCAACAGGCTGGAAGTTCTTTGGAAACCTGATGGATGCAAACAAACTGTCTCTGTGTGGAGAGGAAAGTTTTGGAACTGGTAAGTCAGCGTTCCTGGCATCACCCAGGATGCTGTTATCCCTCCTCTTAGTTCTTTATTCTTTATAGCTTGGGATTTCTCTTTCACCTGTAGTTGTTAATGCTTCTAAAATAATAAAATATTAAAAAAGGCTTGGAAGAATCAGTGTGGAAACAAACAATGCTGAAGGCTTTGTGAGGCAGGAGCCAGTTTTCCCTCAGTCCTTCAGGAAGGCACGTGGAGATATGCAGGAAGTTTGAGGGCCTCTTTACTAGCCCGGTCATTGAGTCTGTGGGGATTAAGTGCAATGTTAAATGTATTTTTCAACTCTTGGTGGCCAGGAAAGCCTTCTAAATGTTTTCATTTCTGGAAAGAAATATGGTTTGGAGTATGGAGTTTTATTAGGGAAGGTTTCAGGTCACTATTAAATCTCTGAGCTTAATAGGGCCCTCATTTTCCTGTTCTGAAAACAAGGTATGATTTATAAAGTTTAAATTAACACTTGCCTTTGAACAGTCTGAGCAAGTTATTGGGTTACTGAGAAACAAAGTGAACATCACAAGGAATTTCTAGGGGTGTGCATGTGACACACAACTGTTATTTGTGCAGGGAAGTTGAAGGGAGCAGGTTTTGCTCCACACTGGAGCAGCATGTGCAGGACACTCAGGATTCCTGGGAGCCCTCAGCAGTTTCTGAGCTCTCCCATGGCATCTGCCACATGGTGTTAACATCCTGACTGTGGAAAGGCACCCCATTCCTGCACAAAGGCTGAGTTTTACCTGGTCTGAATTCTCCTGAGATCTTTTTTCCCTGTTCTGTAAGGACCTCTGGTGGGATGTGCAAGGCACAGGGTCTTGAGAGAATTTAGGGTGGGTGATTTCACACTCAGACCTTGTGTGTTTTCATTCCACCACCCCAGAAAAACCTTTTAACCTGTGCATGGGTGCCTTAAATCCCCAAATGCCTGAGGTGAAGTGCTTTGTGGAGCTGGGGTGCACAGCTTGGCAGGAAAGGATTTCCCCAGCTTCCCTGTGCCTGAGGAAGGGGATCCCAGGCTCTGGGTGACAGCAGGGTGCTGTGGGGCTCAGCAGTCCTCAGTGGCAAGAGTTTTGCAATCAGCTGCTATTCTGATACACTGGATTTGGCCTCAGGCTGGAAGGAAAGGGGAATTTTAGGAAACATGGTATCTCTGTAAAGAAATATTGAAGGAAGTCGTGAGTAAAGAAAGATTTTGGAGTCCCTGAGTGATTTCAGCATGTGCTGAGTTTATATCCTGGACCTTGGCTAATGGGAGGGCACTGGTGCTTCAGGAAATAAATCAACCCAAAAAGCAGCAAATGCTTTTCCACATTCCTGGAGCTGCTGATGGGATGTGGTCTGGGATGAGCGACTCTCCAAAACTGTTGTATGAGCAACAAGCTCCCAGTTTCTCTCCATCCCCCAGCAGGGAAGTGACTCCATCCCAAATAAAAGTGACTGATTCCGTTTGCAGCAGGGGCTGAGGGAGAGGTTTGGGATTTTGTCCAGCAGCATCAAATCCAAGTGGCTGAGGGCTGCAGCAGTTTGGGGGACAGAGTAGGAAAGGGCCCAGGAGTGCTGGGCTCCCCCCACAATGCAAAGGGCATTTGTCCCCCTGGCAAATGCACTTAGGAATGAAAAAGGAATGAAAAGGGGTGAGGAAGGGTGGCTGATAGGAAGTTAATGAGGAGTTGTTTGGAGCTGGACAGAATGTGAGTGTTGAAGGGGAGAGAGGTGAAGGAGCAGCCAAATAGACCCAGTAAAAATTGAAACAAACTGTGACCTGGTGGGATTGGAGTCCAGGAGCAATTAGAGTAATGCAACATGACAGAATTCCTACTTGCTTCCTTGGGTATTTTATTCCAGCCATAAGCTGATACATCACATGGGGCTGGTGTTTATTTAGCATTCCTCTCCATCACCTCTGCCCAGCTCTCTCCTCCCTGAGGGACCGTGGGGATAATTTATCGCCGCGGCCACAATAGTGGGATTTGTGCAAAGCTCCACCTAAACCATGCCCTGCCCCCAGCCCTTTCCCAGAGGATCCCCACTCTGGCACTCCTGGAGAGGGTGACATGGCAGCTCTGGAGTGCTCTCTGCATTAGCTCCTTGGGATTTCACTAATAACTGTTTGGAGGTTGTCCAGAGTGGAAAGGAGAGAACTTTGCAGCTGTGGAGCACAGCGTGAGCTGACGAGGCAGGAGCCCTGAGGGTGGGCTGGGGGTGTTCTGGCCATTTGATCCCATTTCATTTGGGTGCTCAGGGTGCTGTGTAAGGTCCAGCCCCTCTCGAGTTTCCTGTGTGTTCCCAGCCCCCTGCTGTGCTCCCAGGGCAAGGCTGGGCTGGGCTCCGGTGGCTTCCTGTGCAGTGCCAGCTTTGGGGGAATCAGGAATGAGAGGCAATGGGCACAAACAGGCACAGAAAATTCCACCTGGACATGAGGGAGAACTTCTTCCCTGTGCAGTGACCAAGCACTGAACAGATTGTCCAGACAAGGTGTGGAGTCTCCCTCACTGGGGATAGTGAAAAACCTGGATGCAATCCTGTGCCATGTGCTGTGGGATGACCCTGCTGGAGCAGGGAGGTAGAAGCAGTTGACCCACTGTGGTCTCATCCAACCTCAGCTGTTCTGTGGTTCTGTGAATCTTCTTTCATTCCAAAAGAGGGGTTTTCCAGCCCCTCCATGCCTGGTGTGTGGGAGCTCTCCTGGTCTCCACAGGTGGATGTCTCTCCCTGCCCTGCTGTTTTCCAGCCCCATGGCTGCTGCTCTCTGACCTCCTGCTCCTCTCCCCATTCTGGGGTAATTCCAGAATTGCTGGGGTTTGGTTCCCCAGGAGGGCTGACATTTGTCCTGGTGCTGGGCCAGGATTTGTGCTGATCCCAGTGAGCTGCTTGGCAGACAGAATGTGGCAGCTGCTGAGGAGCTTGATGTTCTTCCTGAGCTGCTCCTCTGCATTTGCCTTTTTTTTTTATTTGATGACCTTTTCACTGTTCATCCCCCGTTCCTTCCTTGGGAACAGTTAAGGATCTGTGAACAATGAGCGTGTGTGTGTTGAAAGGGGCCGAATGTTTTCCTTGGGCTGTAGCTGAAAGCAGATGATGTCCTGCCCCGCTCCAACGATGCAGCAGGGATGGAGCTGTGGGAATGCCTTCCATTTGGGAGCCTGTAGTGCTGCCAGATGGATGGAGGAGAGCAGACAAGGTAGGTGAAAGGAATGGGAGTTGTGTCTGTGCTGTTCCCTCCGCAGGCTCCGACCACATCCGGGAGAAGGACGGGCTGTGGGCTGTGCTGGCCTGGCTGTCCATCCTGGCCACCCGCAAGCAGAGCGTGGAGGACATCATGAAGGACCACTGGCAGAAGTACGGCAGGAACTACTTCACCAGGTGGGAAAAGTGCTTCCAACACCTCACACCTCCTGCTGTCCCGTGTCCAACCCTCCAGGTCAGAGCCAAAGTGCTGATGGCACTGGGGTGTCACCGTGGGGCTGCTCCTGCCTGGGGCACTTGCTGTGTCTCTCATAATAATTTAGAACTCCCCGAGCAGTTTGTAACACACCTGGATCACATGGAATGGGATTCACTGGAACCCTGCACCGTGTCCAGCTTAGGGTTGTTATTCTAGACGTAAATCTGGTATCAAAGCCTGCCCAGGCTGCACATCTTATACATGCAAAGCATCTTTTTTTAATGATTTTTTAACTTTCAAGTCTGTTTTGCCATCGGTTCAGTACGTCGGGCTCTTGAGAGCCCAAACCAGCAGTGAATTTGTGATACCTTCAGTGACAGCAGTATCTTGTGCAATGCCCAGCTCCCAGGCTGTTATTTACCTGGATGAGTTTCTGTCCAGTCCCAAAATACTCTAATTTAACCTGCAGTACAAATGGAAGATGGAAAGGGAAGGAGTGAGAACTAGCCTGCACACAAGCAGAGGTGGGAATGTCACCTGGAGTGAAAGCATTAGGCAGAAATCTTTCAGCTTGGAAAACCTACATGAAAATTCCCTCTCAAATTGCCAAATGAAAGAACTTGCCTTTTCCTTTTTATTTTTTTCTTCTTCTTTCTTTTTCTCCCACACTGCAAAGCCAGCACACACCTGAGGCATGGAGAGCTGGGGGGAAATGCCAAAGTTTGGGATAAAAGGGCAGCCTTTTAGCACCCCAGGTGTCTGCAGAGCACACTCAGTGCAGGGGTGGGCGGGTCAGACCATAAGTCCCATCTCATTCCACCCCCTGCCATGGACAGGGACACCTTCCACTAGCCCAGGTTGCTCCAAGCCCTGTCCAACCTGGCCTTGGACACTTCCTGGGATGGGGTAGCCACAGCTTCTCTGGGCAACCTGTGCTGGTGCTTTTTATGTGCCTTTTCTTCCCATGCTCAGTGTGGGAGCAGAGGACACCCACAGGGCAGAAGGCAGGGGTCAGAAAGGGCATCACAAACCATCAGTGCCCACTGCGCCTCCCCTCCCTGACCCGTGTGGTGGCCGGTGCAGGTACGACTATGAGGAGGTGGATGCGGACGCAGCCAACAAAATGATGAAGGATTTGGAGGCGGTGATGTTCGACCGCTCCTTCGTGGGGAAGCAGCTGTCGTGTGGGGACAAGGCCTACACGGTGGAGAAGGCTGATAACTTTGAGTACAACGACCCCGTGGATGGAAGTGTCTCCAAAAACCAGGTGGGCACAGGAGTGTTTTCTTTACTTTCATGGAATAGCAGTGGGTTGGGAATGTTGTGTGTGGCAGCTCTTGTTTCCAGGCATGTGCTGAGGTAGGAACCTCCCAGCAGCAACGTGCTTTGTGTTCAGCTCTGACAAGTTCTCCAGTGTGGGGTCAGAGGGACAGTAATCCCTGTGGGAATGGGGAGAGGGTTACAAAAGAGCCTTCTGCGGCTCCCTGAAGAGGAGGAGCACAGGGATGGTGCAGGCTGGGCATAGCCACACTGGCTCTCGTGGAAAATACCTTGGATACCCAAGAGCTGAGAGGATCTTCCCTCCCTCCTCCCTGCCCAGGGCTTGCGGCTCATCTTCTCCGATGGCTCCCGGATCATCTTCCGGCTGAGCGGCACCGGCAGCGCGGGAGCCACCGTGCGGCTCTACATCGACAGCTACGAGAAGGACGCACAGAAGATCCACCAGGATCCACAGGTGGGTGTGGAATCCCAGCTGGATGCAGCTGTACCTAAGGTGGCACTGACCTGTTCTGTAGTGAGTTCAATGCATGTTCTTTACAGCTTAAAATGCTGCTGTGCTCTTGTAGGCACAGGAGGAAAAGAATCCTCTTATATTTAGGTTAAGGGTGGATCTCAGGAAAAGGTTCTTCCCCCAGAGGGTGGCTGGGCACTGAACAGGCTCTCCAGGGCAGTGGTCACAGCACCAAGGCTGCCAGAGCTCAGGGAGTGTTTGGATGATACTCCCAGGGACAAGGGGGTTTGTTGAGTGTCTGTGCAGGGCCAGGGGCTGGACTGATGATCCTGATGGGTCTCTTCCAACTCAGCCTATTCTGTGATTCTGTGTTCCCGAGCAAACACTCTGTGAGCAATTTGTGCACAACTTGCTGTGCCACTATTGCCAAATAGACTGAAAACCCCACACTGAGAGGAATAAACTGAACTCAGGGTTTCCTTGTCCTGTGCCATAGTGCAGCAGAGTTCGGGATGTGGCACAGGGAGGGGGCAGCAGCAACACTGAAGCTGAGCTTGGGATTCCTCTCTGAGCACTGCATCCCTCTCACTGGTCCCACAGCTCACATGAGCCCAAACCAGTCCTTTGGTCAGCAGAGCTGAGCTTTGGCTGTCCTGGGCTGAGCCCAGATGCCCACGAGGAAAGGCTGGACATGGCATGTGAGAGCTCCACGTGCTGCAGTGGTTCTGAGCCACCTCTCTCCTCCCTGCAGGTGATGTTGGCCCCTCTCATCTCCATTGCACTGAAGCTCTCCCAGCTCCACGAGCGGACCGGCCGCACCGGGCCCACCGTCATCACATAGAGCGGCACTGCCACGGGATGCACGCAGGGAAGGTCAGCCCACCTCCCCTTGACCCATCTGTCCCTGAGAGAGGAATGGTCATTTTATCCTTGTATTTAAGAACACTGTTTTGCTGCTAAGGATAGACAATAATAAACCCCAGCCCTCAGCACCCCGTGTTCTGTTGCTGTGCTGCTTTCTCTGTGTCCCCGTGGGTTGTGTGTGGTGCTCGTTAGACAACCTTTGTGTCAGCACATGGACTCTTGGCTTTTCCTTAAACAAAAGCCACTAGGAATAACAAAAAGACTGCATTTTTCAATATTCAGAGGGTTTTTTCCTATTGTGGAAACTCTCCTGGAAAAGAAGCACAAATATTTTTGGTAACACACAGTCTTTTAATAAGCAATGGCTGTGTATTAAAGCAGAGTATTTTTCACTCAGGTGGATTTTCCCTTTTAAACACCAGTTATGAAAATGAATCTCCATCTGCCTTCTGTGCAAGAAACCCCTCCCAACAAACCCTCCATGCAGAAATGAGCATTGCAGGGTATTAAAGTGATGGGCCACCCTGAGTTACTGCTCAGGGCTCTTTTATTTGCCCACATCATGGCTCCCAAAAAGATGGTTTTGATGAGCTTGTTTGGACAGTATGAATGTGGACAGTAAGAGCCTTGGAATAATCAGATTTGCAGGCATTAATGTGCAGTGTCTTATCCAAGGGCACAGAGAGGGTCACTTTGGAGACAGGTGTAGCTGTGTGATGTTAGCTGTGTGAAAACAATATAAAGCTGTGATTATAAAATACTCAAAGGGACCACAGAATTTAGATTTGCACCCATGAGCTTCATCTGATTTGATTATAAAGAACAACTGGATTTGCAAATAATGGAGTTTGTAAATTGTGTTAGTGCCCTAAAGCTGCTCTGTAAAATGATCTAGATCAGGGTTGGGGGTAAAGAGAGAAGAGGAGGTGTTAATAAAGGCTAAAAGCTGAGGTAGGACCTGAGAAAAGCCTGTGCCTGAGGTTGGGAGAGCTGTGTTTTCCATGTCTGCCCAGCACTTCCCTTGGCAGGATGGTGTTCCAGAGGTTTCCCTCCAGCCAAATGCAGAGCACTAAAGCAGAAAGCTGGGCTTAGTGGGGGGGAAACAATTTGGCTACTCTAATTTGCCTTTTAAGCATTGGGTGAACAAGTGACCCCAGAGTTTATGGATGGCCTCTTGTTAAAGCAGGTCAGTCCTGGGCTCCTCCTGATGGAACCGTGAGCACTGCTCAGTCAAACTGGGCTCAGAGCTGCTCTCTGCCCATACTGGGGCTGACTGCTGCTAACAGCTCTCTGGTGACACCAGCTCTCCTCTCCTGGCGCTCCTGACTTCTTTCAGCACCTTCAGAGCAAGAGGCAGAGCACCAGGGGAGGTTCAGGTTGAACATCAGGAGGAATTTCGTCATGGAAAGGGTGGTCAGGCACTGGAAGGGACTGTCCAGGGCAGTGCTGGAATGCCCATCCCTGGAGGGATTTAAAAGCCGTGTGGATGTGGCACTTGGGGACACAGGTTAGTGTTGGCATTGGCAGTGCAGGGTTAATGGTTAGACTTGATGATCTTAGAGGGCTTTTCCAACCTCAGTGATTCTGTGATTCCATGGCTGCAGGCCAGAGATCCCTCCTGGGGAAGCCCGGCTGGATTTGCCTGTGGGGTCACTGAGCAGGATGTAGCTCTTGGCAGCTGCCCCAGTGCCAGCAGTCCCTGACCAGACAGAAAGGAAGGGACAGTGGCTGGTGGTTCAGGATAAACAGTGCAGCTTTGGGTACAGGAGACTTCTGAGTTCCAGTTAGTCCTGATTTTCTCAGGAAAACCACTTTTCCAGCAGATCCCTTCCCAGTCAGTGACTGCAGGAGTGGGAGCATTGTCAGTCCATGCAGCACTTAATGGGCCACCTTTGCCAAAGCTGTGTCCAGGGGGGCTTGCACAGACCCCTCTGCAGCTGGAAATCTGCATGAAAAATTACTGCTGCTCTTTCCTTGCTTCTCTCCAGGCCAAAGCACAGGGCTCCTGTCCCAGAGGAGCCCAATTAGATCCAGATGTGTGTCCAGCCGCTGCTTTAGGCTTTACCCCGCGGTTACGTAATGCAGGATTCATGGCTGCAGTTTCACTGCACAGAAAGGAAAAGCCATCACAGGAGCTGTCTGGGAGGAGCAGCCACAGCTGAGCCTGGAGCAGAGCTCTGGGTTTCCTTGTCCCATCCAGGGGGTCCATACAGAGGTGCCATGGCCAGAAGTGGAGCTGGCAGGAACCAGTGCCCAGAGTGTTCCAGTACATGGGCTGATGGTTCTACTGCACGTGCACCTTGTGGTCCAGGCAGAAAAGCTCTAAATCCTGGTTGTCTGTAGGATCTTCCATCCCGGCAGAGACTGTCTCTCTCTAGATGGCAGCATTGGTAAAGAGTCTCCAGGCTGTCTCAAACTGAGCCAGAGTCTTGGCACACCTCACTCCAGCGTGATTTCACCAGTAATCCAGGGATTTGGTCACAATTCCTGCATCTCTGAGGCCCTTGGTGAGTGCACCAGCTGCCCAGCTGGGTCCTAAGTGTGGACTCCACAGCACAAAGCTGAAATCCAGCCTGGTGAACCACAGGTCGCTTTGAGACTGGCTAAAACAGTTCAGGGAAATGCTGCACAGGGCTGTTATTGGGGGGGTAATTCCATGTGAGAAATCCAAAGTTCATAATGCCCAGATCTTCAGCATGCAGAGTTTGGGACAAAATTTCCAGGTACCACTGAAAAAAATGTGTTATTTGGCATGTTCCCATCACAGCATCAAGAGCTGTTCCCAGGCTGAGGTGGGGATAGTTAACAAATTACCAACTAAAATCAACCAATTCTCATTTACTCCCTCCATATTTTCACACACCGACCAGGGACGTGGGACCATCAGCACATCCCCGTGCCTCTGGGCACTTTCTCCACCACCAGAAGAGCTGCTCTCATCCCTTCTCTTAGTGTTCCTGTGCACTCCCCATCTCAGTGAGGCTCTGGAAAAATCCCAGGAATGGTGCAGTGGGACCAGCGAGGAGCAGGGTCTGGATAAGGAGCAGGTCAGGGGATCCTGGCAAGAACGGGATGGGATCAGGAGCTGGTGCTGGGGTGGAGGTGGGATCAGTGGAGGGGTCTGTATGGAGACTGGAAGGGATTAAAACTCCAAAAAAAGGAGGGATTTGGTTTTACTGCCTTTGTTTTCACAGGTTGTGATTCCGAGCCAGAATTAACAGGGATAACAGCCCTATTTCCCAGTCTGGGAAATGGCTTTAGAGGTCAGCACAGAACCTGCTGCTCACAGCATCCCACCTGCACTTCAGTTCTGGAAACTCCCACTCTCCTCTGTGGATGAACACTCAGCTACACACAGAGAGCTTGATTGCAGGGAACAAATTAGGTTTTAATTAGGATGAGGAATCCTAGCAAGGAGCAACAGTCCAGGTCTGAAATTCATCCAGGCTCGTGTGACAGTGTGTGAGAGGAGCCAAGGCTGCAGCTGTTGGGATGGATTCATATGGCATGTGAGTGATGATGATCAGATGCTCCAAAGGCTGGAGAACCTCTGCTATGAGAGACCTGGGGGTGTTCAGCCTGGAGAAGAGAAGGCTCCAGGGAGACCTCAGAGCCCCTTCCAGTGCCTACAGGGGCATTGGGATGAAATGGGATATTGGGAAGGAATCCTTGGCTGTGAGGGTGGTGAGGCCCTGGCACAGGTTGCCCAGAGCAGCTGTGGCTGCCCCATCCCTGGGAGCATCCAAGGCCAGGTTGGATGGGGCTTGGAGCAACCTGGGATAGTGGAAGGTGTCCCTGCCCATGGCAGGGGATGGGGCTGGATGGGTCATAAGGCCCCTTCTACTACAGCAAGGCAGAGGCTGGTGAAAAAATCCTGCCTGTCCCCGGAGTCCCTCCTCCACTCTTTCCGGTCCTGGTGAACCTCCTGCATCCACAGCACAAAGGAAAGGAAAGAAGGTAAGTTGTAGAGGGAATAAAAGGCAAAGAAAGCTCTGTGTCACAGTGAGCGTGTGTGCAGAGCTTTGAATCATTTGACTCCATGTTTATCCAGCGCTCCTGGGAGACGAGGGGAGCTGGAGGGAAGCGGAGGAGTTTAGGAAGTTCACAAGCAGAGTGCTTGTGTTGTTTCTGGCATAAATTCCCAGTCATGTGTGTCCCTTCACAATGCCATTAACCCCCCATGGTGGGGCTGGGAGACCTTCAGGAATGATCAGCTCCACCACATCCATGAGGGAGGACTTGGACAGTTGCTCCTGGGCTGGCAGGAGGAGCTTTGCCTTCTCCTCTGGGGTCACCTGCCTGCAAAGAGCCTCTCTGGGTAAAAAGCTGGAGACAGGGTCTACAAATCTGTCCTGTCCTTGTACAGCCCGAAGATAAAAGTGTTAAAATGCTCTGCAATTACAGTCAGCCTCAAAGAAGAGCTTTCTGAGGGCAGGAATCAGCAGCTCAGCTCTTACAGTCCATGGCACAACATGAAAGAATGTGATTTTTAAACAATGCTGGGGTTTAATTTGGCTCAGGTGTTTCTCCCTTTGCAAGAAATTCCGACTGTTTGAGAGTTTGGCCGCTGGGATGACAGAGAAAGAAATACATACACATATAGTTAAATGATGGTCCTGCCTAGTTCCAGGCACCTACATTATCCAGGGAGAAGCACAGCCTTTTCCAAAGCAAAATGAAAGCATCAGTAACATGCAGCTTAGGCTGAAGAAGTGAATTAGTATGTAGGTGTTATTTAAATATCTCAGTTGGAGTTTATTGGAATGGTAAAATGGATACAGCCCAGTTAAGTGCCTTTTTCACCCGAGCTCCCACCAGTTCCAAGAGGTCAGAGCACACCCCACACTTGCTGGTTTTTAGCTTTGAGTGCCCTCCCGATAAAGTCGTTGCTTTAGTGGAAGGGGAATTGTTAGGTTTTATGGAGAGTGGAGAAATGTAGTGTAAATTGGAGCCCTTTATTTTTCACTTTATTGCAAAGCAGAGTTTGTGCCATGTCCAGGGCTGCTCCTCAGTGTCTCGCTCACAGCAGCAGGTGGGACAGTGCAGCTCCTGGCAGCATTTCAGCCAGTTACTGCTGATAACATTTATGGCAGTACGAGCAATGTGAGACATCTTATTTGTCTGCTTT